TATATTCTAATTGTAAATTACATATCTAGTATTATTATTGTCTTATTGTTATTTTAATTATATTCGAGATCTAAACTTGTTAATAATATTATTTTTTATTTGCATTTTATATATTATATTTTTTTATATACTTTTTACTTCCAAGTATAATATTTTACATAATTTGCATTTCAATAAAATCGTTATTATCACTATTAAGGAAGTATAAAAAAATGAAACAATAAAAAAAAATTTATATTTGAGAGATCTAAGAATCCGCTTATTATAAAAGTAGAACAACTTTGGAAAGGTATGGAGTTAATTGAAACGCCAAGATAAACTAATACGATATCGAAAATCGATGTCAGCTTGTTTCTTGAAGCTATGCATTTCATATTTTTAAAGTAAACAATTTATTATATAAAAAATTGGCTTTTGTATTTATTAATCTAATATTTCCTTGCTTTAAAATTTCCGAGAACATGCAGACACAAACACTTTAGTTTATCAAAAACTAAACGCGTTAATTAACAACAACGGCTTAGTCAAGAGCAGGTAACGTTGAGAGGTGTAAACGAGGATAATTGCGTCTCACCTAACGTCATCGTGCTTTTGTAGCGCGCCACTCTACGTATAAAATTGGTTGGAATCGATCTTAAGAGCCCTGCCCGAGTGCCGGAGGGATGCTCGGAAACGGGGAACGACTTGACCTTGGCTGGATTCACGCGTAGCTGAGCTAACGCAAAATCGAAACGCGTTACTTCCACCGCGTGGATCTCCTAAAGCCGGGTTCACATCGTGACCTGCAGCGGCAGCTTTCCGGACTCTGGGATATCCGCAAACGCGACTGCGCACGCAGATTCATAGATCCCGGATAAAAAAAGTCGAAAATTTTCAAACTACTTTTCCATAATATCTATTTATTTTATAGCAAATACGCGAACTGAGATGATAATAAATCGATGATAACTATATATGACGAAGCGTGACAATGAATGAATAGGCTGCGTAAACAAATTTATAAAGCATAGCTCTGAAAACTTAACTACAATAATTAAGTTATTTCATGAAAGATTTGTATATTTAAGAACTTTATGTGAATCTTGAATTATTTTAAATTAATTTATTAAGTCAAACTTTTATAAAACTTTTATCATAAATTAAAAGAAATTTTGAAGGTCTAATTAATATTGACGAGAGTAAGCATAATACTTTTTTAATATAAAAATTTTAGTTTTAATTACTTTTATTGCCTATACCTATACTTGATATTTACATGACACTATTTTCAAATATATATATATATAACATTTCTGCTAAAACATCGAATTTCTATTTCTTTCGATCAAAATCTCTTTTATGATCAACAAATAGGCTAATACATTTATTAAAATATAAACAGAAAATTTACTCGCTGCTAAATTACATACTTCAAGCATCTGTTGAAATTTGTTTCCATTTCACAACTGTTATCTTCCGAAGTTTTCGTAAAGCGCAAAGATAACTTAAGCAAACTTCTCCAAGTTTCTTATAGCGCAAAGGTTGACCTTCGTAACTCATTCGGTTCTATTTAATCGGGCTGGTGTGACATAATCATCTTACGATTGTGGTTTTTAATTCATTCAATTTTTTAATCGAGATATATCTCTCAAATTTGACAAATTAATCTAATTAGTTTAAATTAATAAACTTATCTGCTGTAGAGGACCATTATCAAGTTATCTGTTAATACACTGTTAAATATGTCATGAAATTTAATGTACTTTTAAGTTACACGAATGAAATTCAATTTTATGACACTAAATTAAATTTAATATATCTGCTGTGAAACGTATATTTGTGTATATGTACATGAAATTTATTAAATTTTATGTCGATTTGTATGAAATTTAATATGAGTAAACGTTAAATTTAAGTTACTTATAATATACTTCATTTTCATTGACAACATTAAATATTTTTAATGTACCTGTTTGAAATTTGCTTCCATTACATGTAACGGAAGCAAATTTCTTTTTTTTTTAACAGTGTAGTTATTAACACGTTTCATGCCGCATTAATTTTAAGTAATTTAACTACGCCACGTGATTCACAGTATTTTTATTTGTTTAATAATTATGTATTTGTTAAATGAGATGTATTTCATAATGTTTAAAAAAAGTGACAAAAATTATTATTGCAAAAAAGAAGAATCTAACGTACAATATTGCATCATATATATCATCATAATTATATCCACGTATGATAAATATTACTTTAAAAATTATTTTATAATTACATACATTTCTTTTTATAGCAAAATATCAACGGCCTGAAAGTTCACCGTGTTGACCTATGACCTATGATAGTATTCTCCTTTCTCGCGGATTAGATCGATATTTCTTTAATTTCTAGAAAATATTGAATTGAATGATATATAAAAGTAAGATAGCACAAAAAAAGATAAAAAAGAAATAAATTTCAAGATGCAAAAACTTTACTGATAAAAATAAATCTATAATTTGATTTTATCATTTTCTAAAGACAATTAAACAAAGTTATTATACTTACTTCTACACATAGAAACAAAATTTAAATTCCAGTTTAAATTTGATAAGACAAATATTCCGACGGTGTTATTCAAGTTCCTCGAAACATCTTCGATAAATCAATATAAAAGTATTCGCTCCACTTTCTTCGAACCCATTACATACCTCGTTTCGTTCGAAAGCGACGTAAGTCAGTTTCTAAGTTACTAAGATCGATAGATGTCGCATTACTTTGTTTCCGTATCCCAATTGGAAGTGACGATACCTTCAGAACTGGAACTTAAAATTAATCGTTTTCAAAATAAACGATTTGTGTCTCGATCCTTTGTAAGGTATTTTCCGTGTGAAACGAGCTTGCGGCCCTACGCACCGCGTCGACAAGGGAGCGGATGCATCCACCTCTACCCTCCTTGCCTCTCATCCCGCGAGAAAGACCGTAGGGATACACCAAGGCACATAGAGAGGGTGAATCACCCCCGCGCGCGCCTGACGTACTCTGGCGTGCATAACACCCACGGTTGGTTGGTCCACGCGTGACTAGATACCGCTTTGCACGCGTAGGGGACAAACGCCAATTATATTTTAATATCCCTCCACGCGAGACGCGCCTTTCCCCGGCTTTCGGAGCGCGAACGATGCGAAATTTCGACGACGTAATGCTCGCGTTTTTCTCGTTTTCCCGGAATTCGTCTCCGTCTGTCACAAAAATTAGCGAAAATTCAAAGATATTTAAAGATATAGGTAGCGAATAAATTGCAAATAGGGTTTTAAAAAATAATAGTCCTAGAAAATTCCGGAATGGTACAATAGTACAATAATTTTATGTTTTGTATTTAGTATTTACAATAATCATCCTGTGATCTTTTTTTCGTATTAATTTTAGTTTTACAAAAATCAGAAAAAAATGCAAAAAGAAAAATTTTAAATAACGCCCTAAGAAATGATAGATACTTACAATATATACTTTTTTTTCTGGAATTTATCAAAATTTCTGTGAAAATTGTTTACATTAAAACACACTAGAATGTATTTGTAAGTATTGGAAAATTTTATTTATCTGTATTTCTTTTTTTTACTCTACAATTGTTGGAATATCTGTTTTATAAAATTGAATAAATTTAAGACTCAAAATCAAGAAAAGGAGTGATGTGGAACTTAAAATGTTCCTGAACGTGGTGTAAATAGAAAACATAATTTGAAATCGAAGCTTTTTAAACATTTAATTTAAAAAAAAAGTATAACCTTTATTGACAAAATTCATTCTTTAAGCGCAATATAAAAAATTCAGATACGTTAATATAAAATTAAGAGCAATTCATTTTAGAAAAAAATACTTTATGTAGATTTGAGATTGCTGCTATTTTTGTCCAAACTGTCAAGGTTGGTTCAAGTAAGCGTAAAGATAATATAGTCTTATCTGTAAAAGAGAGTAATCATGCTATATTCACAATTAGGAACCTGGAATGTACCACAGATAAAGTCATTTTATTTAACTTGATGTATTGCGGACTTGAATTATATCACATATCTGTCAATATATATTCCTTTAATAAATCATGTATTGTATCAACTTATTGTAGCCATTTCGTTGCACACGAATTGCAGTTCAAGAATATTATTTTATCTCGTCCTAAATCTTTACTATATATTAAAACATATAAATAAAAAAATTGTCTGCATTTAACTTTTTTTATTAATTCAAAGTCTCATTCCTTTATTTAATGATATTTTTAAATAAGTTTTAAATCATATTTAATCTTGAAATTGGAACGCCAATTTTATACAACAACAGATGGATATAATTTTTTATTCTAAAACATCAGTCTCGATTAACCGAGAAATGTCGAAAGAAAGAGAGAGGGAGAGAGAAAAAAAAGGTAATTATGAAGTGCTGGGGACAGAGAAGACCGAGAAGCATATCGTTCTCGCGTTGCGGTTCATCTCCATCTGACGCTGCCGTATATTCCCCCCGGTCGCGTACGTCCTTTTTCCCGTGCGGTGCAGTGCGCGCACGTTGCCGAGCGTGCGCAGTGCGCGCGCAGCACGCGCCCTCCAATGTACCTTCCGCACGGTTGAGCATCTCCACCATTCAGAATCGATGATGTCACGAAGCGGAGCCAAGATCCCCCACTCGCGTAGCGCGGCGCGAGCGCGGAGAGGGGGACTGCGCCCACCGCCCATTGGTCCAAAACGGCAGTCGGACGTACCAACACGAGGCCGTGGCCACCACGGCGGCACGACCCAACGAGAGTCCGCGAGTCGGTGCGTGTCAGTCCGTGCGTGTGCTTTACCTAATAATATTTCCAACGCGGCTAGTCCCGCGCTCTCGCCTCTTCTTTCGCCTGACAGCCAACACGCATCTCGCCGCCCTCTCCTCTCTCTCACTCACTCTCTCTCTCTCTCTCTTCTCTTTCTCTCTCTCTCTCTATCTTTTCTTCACATTGATATATATATGCGTATATACAACCCTCTCTCTTTCTCGCTCTTCCTTGTTAGGATTTAGACGTTTGAAGGCATATCAAAGCTCTTCGCATCGCGTCGCGCCGCGCCGCGTTGAGTCGTCGGGACTACCCTCCTCCGTCCCGGTCTTCGACGGATCTCTCAGGAAAGCGAGAGAGGAGAAGAATCACGCTGCAGAGCAGCACGTGTGCTGCACTCGCGTGGATCGGTAAGCGCGGTGCGGTTAAATAGCCATCGGTTCTCACCACCGCCGAGAGGTCGTCGCGCGCGACAACCGATGCAAAAGTCGTTTTGCCACCCTCGACGGACTTACCGGTAAATGTTTACAGCGCGCGACTAGCCGCGAGAGTGAAGGGGTGTCCTCGCGAGCAAGTATCGACTTCGGTTGGAGCAGTAGATCGGAGTTCGAAACTTCGAATCGGAGTGTCGGATCCCGCGCAAGTGACAGCGACGGACTCTGCGACTCACCTCCGGGAACTGTGATTCGTACATACGAGGTGCAACGAAAGTAGAAACCGGCTAACGGATTCGCAGTGGTGCCTTCGTCGAACGAAGACGTCGAAGGGAGGACGGACACCGTCGGCCGTCGGCAGCTCTTGGTACGTAATCACGTGTTTGTGAGGAAATTTGATTAAGGAGTATTGAGTGAAAGAGAATTGACGTAAAGAGTAGAAGGGTTTACTGTGTTTTACAAATCTTTAATCTTTTATAAGCCATTATCTGAGCTTTAAGTTTTAAATCGTAAACAATTGACCAATCACAGTCGAATGTGAAAAAAATAATTGGCTATAGAGGTCTGTTCTTTTTGGCTGAACTTTTGTATCAGTTTATCTTTCTTCCTCTTCTTTCTTCCTGGAGAGAGAAGGAAGAAAGATGAACTGGTTCAGCCAAAAAGAACAGGCCTATTGAGTGGTCAGTCTTTTACGTTTTAAGAGTAAAGCTTAGGTAAATTATGGGCTTAAGGCTTATTGTAGAAAGTTCACTAATTTTTTACATCAACGATGCGTTAATCCATTTTAATTTTGGACTGATTGAAAATTAAAAAGAAACATCCCTTGTTTATAAAACTGAAATTTTCTTTATTTTACACTTATTATCTACTGTATAATCAAATTGTAAATTAGTTAGAAGAGATAGAAATAAGATCTCTTAATCGAGCGTTAAATTTAAAATTAAATTTTCAGTAAATAGATTTCGTTGTCTCTCTCTCTCTCTCTCTAATTCTTTTATCCGTCAAGGTGCGTTTTTCTGCTATCGACGACTAAAGTTCAAAGAGTCGATTAAACCTGTCTACAGATTCACTTAGTTTTCGCTTTTCGTTCTACGAAACTTTACGCAAATCTTGCTTAATTTATTCGTTAACGAAAGATTATTTTAATTTGGTTTCAATAAATTTTTGTTAAATTTTTTTATTATTTGAAGATGAAATTCGAAAATAGATATTATAATATAATCACAATATCCATTTTTTAGTTAAACGGTTCTTCTAGCGTTTATGCAATATGAATAAATTAGATTTTGAATTATAAAACAACCAATATCGAATATTATGAATAAAATTCGTTTTAAACTGATAAAGAAATGTAATATTGATTGCATAATTTTTGTCACTTTTCACAATAAAAATTCATTTAATACCCTACAAGCAGGAATTCTTAAGATTTAATTTACTGAGACTTAATCCGTTTATCCATAAAAAAGCATACATATATCTCTGTCAGAAATCATCAATATAAATATCTAATCGCTGTGATTGCAAGTAGAACTTTTTGTCTGACGTATCGACGCTGAAAGGATATGTAAAAATGTTCAAAGTATAGGTATCTTACTTCGATAATATCTATCGTCTTCGGGTACGAGTACGCTCGATTAATTGAACACCGCGAACGCGCCGTTAATCGCTCGCTACGCAGCAAACGTACCCGAATCCCAACGGTTCATCCTGCTGATTAACACAGCTCGTGGTATCAGCCACGGCAGGCGAATGCGCGTCGCGCGCGGGAATGCAGATTGCATGCACGTAGCGTATAATACGGCTTAAAGCGTTAGGCGCTCACTCTCCCCCGCGAACTCATCGTAGTACCGGAGACGAATGCGATTGAATAGCGCGTCGAATTTCCGTGACGAATATATGTATGTGTATACGAATATCCTGTTATCTCCCTCGTTTCGTCTTTCTCGTATATTCCACCGTATCTCGTCGTAGTATCTTCTCAGTTTGTTCTCTTCTCTCTTTCCCCTCTCTCCCGCACACAGTCACGGTATTATGGCGTAATTAAGCGATAGGCTTTATACGATTTGCCATGTAAAATGCACGAGTGAAAGAGCCTCCGAGTCTGAATGTCGAGAGCCGTAAGTGTGGGACGTCCCGTGGTGACATTCGACGCGATTATTGTGGAACGCTCCTTTCCAGCGACTTGACGGTGTATTGTGCGTCGGCTACTACAGCAATTTCTTTGCGGTAGACCCGATTCTCTAATCGGGGTAAATATACGACGGCGACGACGTCGGTTGCTCGTAAACAACGTCGATCCGCACGTAGAACGTCTAAAGGTGACCTTATACGGTCAATAATACTGTATTAAGTACTGACAATATTACTGATCGTGTGTGGTTAAATTAATGGATTGACGTAGAATACTGATGGTGATCTGGATTTTAATTCTCAAACATCAGTATCGCTTTATTAAGATCCATCACAGTATATGTTACAGTGCAACAGATAATGTACGTAAAATTAAAATGAAATATATTGTCAATAATACTGATCGTATAAGGTTGTAAAAATATTAAAAATATTAATACGTACTATCAGTATTACTGATTCAATATTATTGATCAATATCATTGATAGTGTAGAGTCACACTTTAAGCCGCTGTTTCTAGGCTGATATTCTCGAGCAAGAATTCTTTGCGAGTGTCATGGAATATTTCTGAGAAAAAAGTTTTTTTAAATCTTTTTAAAAAAAAATTAAAATAAAATAGCCTCATCTTTTTGCTATTTAACTTACTTATTTAAAAAACTTAAAAGTTTGAAGATTAAATTTTGTAGATACTGAAAAAGTATTGTCTTCTGAAATTACATTTCATTATTTATTTTTAGCTTCAATGCACAAGAAGATTAATTTATACATTTGTTTGGAAAATAGAGATGAGTAAAATGAGAGAAGATATTACAAAATAATTATTCTTAGATTTATATAAATACAAATCCCAGAACGAATATTCGACAATAAGAGCCTGATATGTAGAAAAGTTAAGTAGAGTTCCGTAGAAAAGCATAACGTAATGAAAACAATTCGAAAATCTGAAGCAGAAAGCTCATAAATAACAGCAAATTGTTGCAAAAGAGCAGAAAATTGGCCGCGAACCTCCTTAGTACAGAACGCAATTGCATTAGATTGAATTGTATTATGTTTCGAAGGAAGCCTTCCGTAAGATCTATAACCGTTTAACGCCTCGTTAACTGTTCATTATTAACGTGCCGTTAAACAGGAATAGATCCTATAAACGACGCGCGCGAATTAACGTTGATCAATGAAACGTCTTTCGACAATCTACATCTGGAACGGATTGGTGCATTATCGGATTGATCGATATCGAAATAAAATGAAAACGAGAAATATCATTAAATATATTGATTCGTCCGTTGTCATATGGCAATTAAGAAAATTTGTGAAGCTGTGTGCAAAGCAAATTTTTCCGAATGTATGCGCACTGCTACAGATTACGGGAATTAAAGATAAAGAAAATAATGATTATATAAATTATGTTGCTGAATGCATTGAAAGATGTAAATACCGTAATCCAATACTCAAAATTCAAGAGTAATTTGGCAATTAAGTAAAATTAAGATTGCTTTGATTATTGCAGTTGTTTTGTGTAAATCCGACATACATGGAAGTTCTTATTTTGTTAGTTAAAGGAGAGAGACGTAGATTTTTCAAAATAATAATGACGTAAGTTTTATTATATAATAATGTATATATAATGTATGTGTGTCACATTTTCCTAAGAGATAACAAATATAACATTTACATAAGATTTTTGATAAGAAAAAGTTTAATATGCTTCGCGTCTATGTGCGTGCGTGCGTGCGTGCGTGCGTGCGTGCGTGCGTGCGTGCGTGTGTGTGTGTGTGTGTGTGTGTGTAAACATAATAAAGGTAAAAAAAGTAATACAAAGGCACAGGTACTTCGAATCGAACTAATTAATCCCGCATAAGTTGTGTACGTTATGCTAAAGCAATTTATCTCTCAATCGTCCTCGATTACATGAAACAGTTTACCGCCAATAATACGCGGCCTCATTCTTCTTCGGCATTAATTAATAATTAATGTACAAACGCACAAACGTGTACGTGCTCACGACGAACATAATCGTGGGCGGAAGTCACTTTATACGGTAGCGCGAGCGGTTAATGCCTGCGGGGGTTGTTGGGCGTGTATTACGGGGGTGAATTTCGACGGTAGTCGCGGTAGCGACGGTTGTGGGTGCCATTAACAGTGTTTCGCCGGAAATGTAAAGCATAATGCGCCGGCAGCTCGTGGATATGGAACCTATTACCATCCGCGTGTATAATGCTACCTTCCCGCCACCGCCCCATTACACCTCGCGTCTCGCCGCGTTGCGTTGCGTTGCGTTTGCGGAGCATTCAAGAAGAGTTCAAATTTATCCCGCAATAACTACGCGTTAAGAACAGGAATGCAGATTCTTGCGTAACGCATAAGGCGCAAAAAATCAACTAATCTTTTATTTCATAGAAAGGAAGGGAATGAAGGACTTTGGTTCATTTTCTTATGCATTATGCGTTATGCATGACTCTGTGTTTCCGCCCTAACTTTGTTCTCCACATCTCATTTGTTAGATCAGGAGCGAACGATCTTCGACAGTTTGGAAAATTTTAATTCCAGTTCAAGAAGTTCAAGAATCCTCTATTTGTCCAACGATAATACGCTTTTAATAATTTGATTCTTTAAACAATTAATCGAGTTCGTGGATTTTCTGCAAATTATCCAAAGTTTAGAAGAATCCCGTTTCAAGGTTAACGCGATCATAAAAAACATCTGGCATTTACGTAACTGGCAACGATTATTCTTAATTTAATAAAAGATTAATTTACCGCGTAATCATAAAATATTTAATGTTAAATAAGTTATTTGAAAAATCGCATCTCATTTATTTGAAGAAAAAATACTTGAACGCGAAAGGAAAAATAAGGAAAGCAATATTTCTCTATAATTAGAGATTAATGTTTCTAAGATTATAATTCATCAAGAGACACAGTAATATCTCGCGTTAAGTACATTATTTTATAATTGAAAGAGAAATTAAAAAAGTTAATCGCGCATGTAGTAAGTCTTCTTTGTGCGATATTTAATCTTGTCGAACTTGAATCTCATACGATTAAGAAAAAGTCTCTCTCGGAAAACCGCTGTTCCGTTGGCGATTCCGAGCGAGACAGAATCGAGTTTGAGTTCACTAAATCGACAGCTTGGCGTCTTGCAAACAGAAGTGACGTGATCCTGTTTGCGCTCAGTCGGGCATAATCCGAGGTAATCCTCTTGCACAATATGCGAATGCAATGCGTTCTAACCTCCCTCCTTCCACCTCCGCTCGTTTCTTCCGCTCTTTCTCTCGTATATACATAAACATATGCCTTTCGCGCCTCTCGCGTGCGGCTCTTTCCTCTTTTCTGTATTTCATCTCCCGCGTCGTCTTCTTAATGCATACAAGGAAGTGCTCCTCTTGTATTGTAGCGCAAAGAGCATCGTGGATAATGAAAGGGGGAAGTACCCTGTGCAGACACTTGTGTTACCTCGCCGTTGAATTTCATCGCGATAACCTACGGAAGTGAATCGTCTTATAAATTATAACATGAATTTGATTCGATTCAATGTACCTTGCATAAACATCCCTGTAAGAGAGATGTCTTTGTCAGCTTTGACATTTTTCTTCTACTAAACCTAGGGAAAACATATATCTCAATTTACGTATTGATGAAGTAACACCATTGTGTGAATAGAATATCTCTCTAATAAAATACCATTTAAACTAAATGCAATACATACTTGTTTTATTCGATTTAGAGTTAGCATCAAATAGATATCTTTGGGTGATATTTATAGTCCGTTCTTATTTTAAAACTGTCAGTAATGTTTTGAGACGTTGCTAATACGTGTCTCTTTGATTCATTTGTGACATCTTAAGACTATACTTAAGACGATTCTATAAATATAAGATCCGACTATGAATACCGTCCTTTGTCACAATTTCAAACTTGAGAATTATTTCTCATTTTATGATGCCTAAGTGTTAACTGTTACCCTTCTCGAATTGCTTATAACATATAAAACATGTTCCATATTTAAGACATTCAAAATTGATCCCGATTTAATTGAAGCGAATGAAACGGAAGCATCTGTAAGTGAAGCTTCTAAAGATTACTTTTAATTTCCGTAATGTATTTTGCAATGCCATTAACGACTCGATACACTGTTAAATCTATAGTGCCAAATTTAATTCAATGTGAGTCGCCACTGCTCCTAATCATATCGTTATTTTAGACTAAAACAATGATTATAGTTTATAGTTAATACTATACAGTGTCAATTTGACACTATATAGTGTCCAATTGACACGATATAGTGTCAAATTTAACATGTAATATTTAGTAGGAGCAGTGGTCACGTTAGGTTAAATTTATACTACTATATAATTTAGACACTATAGATTTAACAGTGTACGACTTTTACCCTCTGCGACTTTACTTTAAACTTCTTTCATAAACTGTTTTTTTTCTTATAGCTTCTCATATGCGTTTTATATATGGAGCGATACAACTCGTACGCTTTCAGCCGACTAACCCTTTTCGACACTAATTATCGCTCTTAGCTCCATTTTCATTCCCTCTAGTAGCAACTCTCACTTCATCTTCTTTTTTCTGTCTGCAGTAGTGAAAAATATACGGAGGGTGTTACGTTTGCTAGTAGTTCACATCTTCAACGACTGTGATCCTCAATAATTAAAACACTTCATGTCGTCAATGTAACGACGTTCGAGATGATTCCATTCGTTTCAGGGATGATTTACGTTCTTTGTATTTGAAAATATGAAGACCGATTGGTATTATATAATGATACATGCAATTATTAATAAATAGCTCTGCTAATAAATAACATAAATTTGAAACATGTTAATAGAAATTAATATCAATATTAATTAAGAATTCATTTGTTTTGATAATCTGCTATAATTCTTACCAGTATCGTGTCCTTATACATAAAAATTTATCAACGATTTATCTTATAACTCTAAATTAAATTTTTTAATTAAATTTTATTTATGATAAAGAGTTTTCAAAATATGTGAAAATAGGGACATGTAAAAGTCAACGCATAAAATTGCTAAGAATTATGATGCAGGACAACACGCATAATAAATATATAATAAAAAAGAGTAATAATAATAGTAATGATAATTCATCTGACTTTGCATAGCTTACTGTCCCATATACTCGTATGTAACGTTTCTGAAAAATTTAATCAATTTATTAACAAAAATACTAGAGTGCCATTTTTAACATCAATAAACTATCTGAATTTATTAAGATTCAGAAAGATTCTCGTCTAAAAGCAACGTTGTATATAGGATTGACTGTAAAAATTGTAATGCTTCTTATGTCGGCCAGATGAGTAGACAGTTGAAAACACGAATTAACGAACATCGTAGTTATATCCGCTGGAACATCTACCCATTCTATAATTACCGATCATAGGCTGCAATTCGACCATGATTTCGACTGGGATAATATAAAAATCTTAAATGAGTTGAAACAAAATAACAGCCTCAATCTCCAACAGACATATAAAGGATCTTTCTTCACTCTGCGTATTTTCCTATATTATAAACAAAACAAAACCTACGTTATCATGATTATTTTTATAATCAGTGTCTGCAGCTAACTGACTAGTTCATCTTAATAATTTGGCTCTTATTTAAGAAATTTTTTGACAAATTTTCTATTTAAAATATTTCTGTGCGTTATTTTCGATTCTAATGGTGAGTTTACTATTTAAAAAATTCAAACAAAAATTGCTCGATTTTATAGAACATTCTAGGTTTTTGTTTACACTTTTTGCATGGTGTATTAAATGTGTGTTAAATTCACAATTTCCAGAATTTTTCTCCGTACGATCTTCCAATCGTTCTATCACAATAATTTTGTAGTTACTTACAAGAGAAGTTTCACAACTGTCCGGAACCGATTTGATTCTCCATGAAGTATGTTGTTAAACACGAAAATCTAAGAGACACGTATTTTTTTATACGTGCGCTAACTCATATTTAAGGGGTGAAACACCCCTTTGAAAAAAAACGGTATTTCTATTTTGAGCCGAATACCGTCGGAAGTATAAAAGATGAAAAAAAATTTTTTTAAACAAAAGTTGTACAGTTTCAAGAGTACTTCAATGTTGTGAAGAAAAAAAAATTGAAAAAAATTTTTTTTGTTAACAATTGTTAAACAAAAAAATTAAAAAAATATTTTTTTCTTCACAACATATTTTGAAGTACTCTTGAAACAGTACAACTTTTGTTTAAAAAAATTTTTTTTCATCTTTTATACTTCCGACGGTATTCGGCTCGAAATAGAAATATCGTTTTTTTTTTTCAAAGGGGTGTTTCACCCCTTAAATATGAGTTAGCGCACGTATAAAAAAATACGTGTCTCTTAGATTTTCGTGTTTAACAACATACTTCATGGAGAATCAAATCGGTTCCGGACAGTTGTGAAACTTCCCTTGTTAGCATGAGAACTGGAAAGATATTGTTGCATTTTCCTGCTTGATTAATTTATTTTGAGCTCCCTACATCTAAAGGGGGCTCAAAAAGGTAGTCAAAACATGTAATAACGTGAACTTTATAAATATTATCTCTCGATTTTCTTAATGTAAATTTAATATTATATAATTAAAATATTATATAATTAAAATTTCGTAATTTTACACACCGACTCTGTGTCGACTCTTACATGTCCTTATTTTTATATACTGAAATTTGTTATTGTATAATATGAGTCTTTTAATCTGTATTTTTAAAAGATTTTTGTTATTTATCTCTTCGAATTTTAATTTCTCTGAAATTTTTTTAATTTTATTGCTTTATATTTCCATGATTTAAAACATGTATATGTATATATTTATATTTCGTATAGTAGATACAATCGTCAGTATAATTTTTGTTCAAGTTAGTTCTTTAATATCTGTTGGCAAAAGAATCTGTGATGGTTTATATATATATACATATATGTATATATGTATATCTTTCCTCTTTCTTGTGTGCTTTGTAGAACGCAAAATTAAAGTAGATTGTGTGGATACGTTGCGGTAAGATAGGAACCGCGCGCGGTTTAGAAGTAACAGCGCGGGAAGAGATCGGTTTATTTGTCTGCTTAAGGCAACGTATATATGACCGCGATATGCAAATGACAGATTTACACAGGTGTCATAGATACATACAGTTTTCGAGCATACGGCGCGGGCGTCGAATTAACTACGACGTTTAATACGGGATAGTTTGGATGGGTCATCGAAACCGTCAAGTGTATCTTCGGTACAAGCACTATTCTTTCGCGTTATTAATTGCCTAAAGTCATTTTATAGTCGTGTTTACCAACATGCATCTCACTAGTTTCGTATTTACATTACGAAGCTAGGTACTATCTTTCTTGCTTTCTCAATCACACGATTAATTGGTCTGATAATCTAGTCTTTGGACGGAAAGACGTTAGTGTTATTGCAATATACGAGTTTGAGATTTTTTCTAATGATAGGTTTAATTATGGGTTTCAGTGAACGAGAAGTGTTTAAAGGCCCGAAGATTCTGCCTTCGCAGCAACTGGGCGCTGCGGTCGCTCCATGGCCGGGCGCAACCGGCCTCATAGCTTCGGTCACTGCTGACGACATGGCACACAAGGGTAAGTTTGTATTTTTTAATTATAAAATTGTACAATTTCAACGTTTATCGATATACACAACTGGAGATCATTTTTAAAAACAAAAGTAACAATGCGACAGTTATTAACATAATTGTAGGAAGAATAATATCGAAAATATCGAATCGAATATTGAAGCTTGCAATTCTTAAATTTGTAATGTTAAAATACGTAAATCAATGTAGGAATCATTATTCATAGTCTAATAATAAGATTTAGAGTTATGGTATAGGATAAGATAAAAAAAAAGTCATTATCTCCAAAGTTGCGTATGCGATCAGAAGATTAAGACGCGCGAAACCCCATCGTGATCCCCAAAAGAATATCAAAAGATCCCTTCATGTCGATCTTTGATCATATGTCATTTTCTAATCCGGCATTCCATTACAACGGGCCATCACGAGAACGATTATGATAAAACCTTTACGAAAACGGAATTCTCTTTTTCTCTCTCTTGTCCTCTCCCTCCAAGAAGCATAAAACTTAACGACTTCTGGACGACTACGAAATTCCGATGGCACATAACCACCATACGTGCAACGAATTCTGTTTCTGCGATTGGTGTTTTGCATTAACGTGCAACATTTATGTGCCTCTAAAATAGCGTCGAACTTGAGAAAAATAATCGACTGTGATTGGTCAATTTCTTACGGCTTTACAGCTTATAGCCTCTTAAAGCAAGGTTGTGGACCTAGACTAATGAGATTTTAAGGCTTAAGCTTTAAGATTTAAATAAGGAACTTTCAAATCAGCATTTAAAGTGTAAAGGTATAGCATCGTGATGGCTAAGAACATTTCTGAGGTAATTGCCGTGTGCAACGGTTTTTTCTATTCGCGCGCACACACACTTCTCCTATTAATTCGCGAGACGAAGTCTCGGCGAACGTAAACTATGTCCGGAGATATTACGGATAATTCGAATTCTAGCCCCGGACGAATCGAAACGTCCGAGAATCAAGAGGGAGGCGTTCGGTTGATGGCTAAGGCGTTTAACCCCATTAGTCCTGAATGGAACCTCTCGTCTCTTCCTTCCTCCCTCTCTCTTTCTTGTTCTCTCGTATATCCACCCCCGTTCCTTCTCGCTTTCTCTAACTTTCTGTCACTGGCGCTTCCTTCGCTTTCGCCCATCCCTGCTCGAGTTCTCTTAACACAAGGGTCCGAAGAGGATGGGCAGACGACGTCTCAAGGCTTTCTAAAGCCGGCAACTTCTGCCTGAAACTGGCTGCTCACTTCACGTATTGATTTCCATTCTCTTACGCCTTCCAGTCCTCACGTTTCTCGTCCGCCTCTCTCTCGCGTCGTGTCCTTCGGGCCCACCGATTCGTTCCTTCCGCGGGATCCTTCGCTCCGTCGCGAGATCATAATTTCTATCTCTTGACATCCCGATAGTCGTCGTATAACTTAGTTAAAATGCCAAAAAGGAGCATCTAAATGCGACGTCTTTATTCAATAACTCGCGTACTTCCTCTCCTTAATCTTTAATAATTTTGTTACGTTCATCTTTTAATATATGTTATGATATACTGATTTTTGGCAGAATACGCTAGAAAATATTAATGATTTTATTAATGGATATATATTGTGTGGTTGTTATAAATTTAGAAAAATCGAAAACACATCGAAAAATAAAATATATTTTATTTATCATATAAATCTATTATATTAAAAATTAAAATTCGAATAATTCAGGATAGCAAAAAATGTGTACACACAAAAAATACACATACAAAAAATGTGTGTGTATTTTTAGGAAAATAACAACAATGTGTATTTACTTTTCTTTTTTGTGTATTTATATATAATCACAATTGAATCTTTTATGATCATTGTATCCGTAACGCATTCTATCTATTTTTTTTTGTGGATGGAACGAACATATCAAGTTCGTAATCGATTATATCAATTTCAATCAAATTTTTTCCCGTATTCCGAAACAATTTTGTTATTTTATAGAAACGGTTTGTTTATTAACGGTTCACTATATCGCAAAGGATTTCAATTCTGCAAACTTTAGACGTATGCAGCGCATAAGAACTAGTACTATCACAGGGTACTTTTTTTACTTTTACTTTAGCAATTTATTGAAAATAATTGTTTTTCATTGACCCTCCTCTTTTTCCCCCAAATTCTCTCAATTATGTATTATACAACTTGTATACATTGATGAGTATGAAACCTGTATGAGTTAGCAATGCTTGAATTATTGTGTATTTTCGATAATAATTATTATAATACATACAAATAAAATTTCAAACAGCATACGTTTCGACTCCGGATTTAGATCCTCTTTAGTACGTATTAACAATATGAAATGGTCATAAATTTCTTTCTGATGATCGAATCTTTCATCTATTGTAAATTGTAGTTCAATTAAAAGTCGAATAATTAAAATAATTACAGTCGTCATATTAAATTAATTGAAATCGTCATATCAAATCCATAAAATTCTTTAAAGTTAAATAAATAAGTAGAAGGTCTTAGAAAAGATAATGGCAAGCCCCATATTAACAAAATGTGATTGGGAAGAGAACTGATTATAAACCCCCATCAAATTTATTCCATCTCAGAGATTTGCCATAAAAATTAAAATGGTGATATATAAATAATGCAAACAGAGAGAGAGAGAGAGAGAACTCACACATAATTAAAAACTAATAATTAAATCATAATAAATTGAATCAAAAAGATCTGTCATCATATTACTTAACAGTCCATGAGATTAATCTTTAATATATATACAGTACTAGACAAAATAAAGTACGCACTCCAAACATTTTCACATTTATGTAAATAACTCGCCAGTCCTGGCAGATAGCATAAT